CGTTTCCTAATTATACACAGCGCTCCTTGGGTCGATAAGGAGCAAGGCCAAACAAACCAAGGTCTTGAGGGTTTAGGACTTGTGGCACAACCTGTCGCATCTACCCAAAGGCGAAAGGAAAGACGTCGTTTTGTCGGATCATGTGGCGGTTGGCCAGTCTGCATCCCGAAAGAAGAACTAGCGAACCATGTTAGTTTCATGGCTCTCTCCCTCCTTACCTCCCCCAAAAGCCTCTGAAGCCAACGCACAAATCATAGCCGCCAAATGTAAGCACCGGTTCATGGCCGAATGAATTTCGCCACCCTGCGGGCCCTTACTCAAAGCTCCTCAGATCGAAACACCGGCAATTTAACACTTATCCAAGCTCGAAGCTTCCGCTCAAATTGTCTTGGACATCCGTGGAGACTGTTTAATCACCACCATATGCACTACGGAGATCCCGACCTTTGCAAACTGTTTGAGCCCCTTCAGATTCGGAAACGTTGTCCTCCCGGAGCAACTCGCCCGCACTGAGGTGGGTGAAACCCATCTCCCGGATGAACTCCTTGTTGGTGGTTTGGTTTTGTCAGCGCGAAGAAGTTTAAGACTTTACGGTTGTCGTGAGGTGTTCGCACGTTGGGGTCCCGATCTGCCAGCAAGTTCCCGACCCCGTGGTGAACGTACTTGCGAAAGGCCTGTATCAAGCTGAGACTTATGCAAGGCTACCTGGGTGCAAGCTGTGGTAACATCTCGGGGAACGGGATTTGACAAGGGCGCCTGCTCTCATGACACCATCCCTGACCGGGTCTTGCAGCTAAAGTTTAAAGCATCCCCTAAAATGGCAAACTACAGAGAAACAACACACAACGAACCAAAAACAGTTTGATTCGGGCACAAGCGCAGGAGACCCGAAGAAGCTGTCGCATCCAGGCCTCATGAGGTTCTGAAGTGCTGCCGAGAAAGCCCTAAACCCAAGAATCCCCAACCAATCAGTCCCGGAGGCCCTCCGAAACTCGCACCACTAATGTCAAAGTTGCTTTGACTCCTTCATACACGTGCGCCTCGTGTTTCGGGGCTCAGCAAGGGTCTCGTCATTTAGAGGGTGGAGATCTGCGTTTGTTAGGCATCAGCGGCAGCTGCAAAGCCTACTGCCCTTGTCACTGCCGCGGCTAACTTACAGGTCGGCTTCCTTTCCACATGATGGCGTAATTATCAAAATTAACGGCAGCGATCATTGTCGAAGTCGTCGTTGTGAAGCGGCGCCCTTTGCTTCGAAAACAATGCATGTCCCCGGAGGACCCCTCGTTTGAGAGTCCACCCAAGTGGAACACAATTTTTACGATCTACAGCTCAAGATGTGCCAGACCCTGCTGCCAAGCATCGCACTGCGTACCTGCACCGCAGGATGGCATCGTGCTACACTCGCACTCACACACAGACGGAGACGAGGTGTGCCGTTAAATGAGTTCTGAAGGAGAAAGGATCAACAAATCTCACCCTCATGATGATGAATGATGATACTCTCGAAGCCCCGGTCGCAGGGCATGTGGCTTATCCGTAGTCTGTGTTCATATAGACTAGATCAGCCGAGTTTGAATGTCTGCAAAAGGACTGACCCTACCCCCCGAGACCGCCAAGCCGCGCACGAGCAACAGGACAAAGACTAATATACACTACTAGTAGCATGATGCAGACCCATAGAGACCCAAGAATGCAAACAACAAACAAACCCAACGCAGCAATTGACACCCTATACACCTTTTTTTGCCCTGTAGCTCTAGGTCGCAGCAGCCAGGTAAGATCGGGCACTGACCGAAAGCGTAAAACTTGACGTAATGAAACAAAGCTACTGAACACTGCATGTCTCGAGGCTCGCATATTAAGATCAGGAATGCTCGGAAGCCGCTGAAGCCGAATGTTGCTAACATCAAGCGCTCTGACAGGTGCTAATATAGATATGTGGAAAGACAAATGTGTAGAGACATGCACGAAACCTCTGTACAAGTCCTTACCACACCCCATAAGGCCTCATAGGAGCCCTATATACCGGACATAACACCCCCCCTACAATCCTGGAACGCATCCCCTACAATCCCATGTTGATCTTCTGCTTGCTCAGATTCTCAAAATCTCAGACTGGGTCCTGCACTTCCACTTAAGCCCTACACTTGAAGGCCAACCCCCTGCCCGATACGCACACCCTGCAAAGATTGATGGTTTAGGCCATGGCATGGCCATTGGCCACATAAACCCTAGCTGAAAGTACATCAGGGGACGGCGAAGAACACGAGCACATGAACATTCCGAACAGCACTTAGCTCCGCCGCCTTTGCCGCTGCCTGGCCCACCGATAACGAAGACCACCTGTCTTGTGAGTTTCGAGACCATCAAACCTTAACTTGTTCAATCTGGAGCTCTCTGTACACCCACGAATCTAAAACCAAGGCCTGGGTCCTTGAGCTTCGGAGCGCGTCATCTGAACTCTGGTTTAGAGGGACCTACTTAGCGGGCGATGCGACAAAGCTTGCTAACACGAACTGATGGTTGGATGGCGGGCCTGCCAAGGATTAGCAACCGCTGGCAAGCCTTGGTGGGCCTAGCATGCCTTTGTACTTCGGTTTGTTCGTGAGGTTTGCAAAACCCCCCAATAAGGACTGCAGGGCACGCCGAGGCTAGACGTTGGTCTCGAGCATTCGTGATCACTGGTACACTTTAGCAGCGCTCTCCGCAGCTTGCACTGCTAAGCGCTAGTGAGCAGTAGTAGGGACTAGTGAGTGCTAGTTTAATGAGCCCTGGGCAAACAAAGTTTCAAGGTTGGCTCCCAACCAAGTATCCGCAAGGAGCCTTGCTAAATCAAGGTAACTCAGGAATCCCAAGCCTCTTAAAATCCAAAGCCGACAGTTAGCAATGGTGCCATTGCTCATCCAAAACACGTTACCACAATTCCAACCAAGACAGTCCAAACCAACTCTTTCGGCCCACATATCAGGACTGGGGACTCCGGGTCAGGTTCCCATGAGCTTCCGCTCTTATCAGCGGCCGAAGTCCTATGATAACCTATGGGTTTTCGGGATTGAGACTTCAAGGGCTTGGCGCAGATGTTTTTTTTAAAGCTCCTTTTTAATGTCCGCCAGGCCGTCGGCCAACACTAAGGGCAGATGTTTAGAGTTTAGCGTTAAGAGCAAACGTATGTCTCAAGCCACAACTTTCTTAAGCCACAGCAAGTAACACCTTCAAGCGGAACGTCAATCATTGCGAATATTGGAACACGAGATTTGCTGGCAAGCCCTTTCCGAAACGACAAGGAACGAGAATGCTCCAAACCCCGCGTCTTTATATTGTGACAAAGATCACCAAATAAAGTACTCCAGCTTGTGGGAACTATTACGCTCTCACAACTCGGACATGCCAGGCGAGGTTCTTAGGTACGAGGAGGGATCCGCAAAACATACATTGACATACATTGGCAGCGCATTTCCGGGCCTTGGGCTTTGGACCCTCTGCAGCAGAGTCCGCGGCGGCGCGACGCGCAAAGCACCTGTCAAGCTGTTTTCCTGTGAAAGAAATCCCGTAACCAAACTTAGCAGTACCATTTATGGCCGCAGGCATTCTGTGCCACCATATCCTTGGGAAGCTTAGGACAGGCCTCCTTGCTCAAACCGCCAATGGGTGGATGCAAGTTTTGGAAGTTCGTTGGGCCCTAGTTTTGAATTGAACCATGCTCTTGGTATCTGGTGAAGAAGATCCGTGCGGAGAGTTAGGGTCACCAAATCGGTTGGTGTTAACAAAAATCACAAAGCAAACCTACTACATGCCCCCAAGGCCCCTAAAGTTAGTTGACGATGTAAAACCGAGTCTATGCAAATCTTTCCCACGAGTATTTTTCTGGCCGGTTCGAACAAGGAACAAAAATCAAGACGACCGCTAGAAACCTAACAGAAAGCACGCCCTACGCCACATCACATCAACGAAGACTCTTTGCTCAGGCTGCAGACAGTCGCAGTCATGCATGCAATTGTTGCCTGCCCCTTGTGGGCAGCTGCGAGAATTCGTGAGAATATCAGCCCTAAGCTCCAACCCCCAGAAAGGTTCTAAACCCTGCAAATTCGGTTGCCGGCGGTGAATTTCGCGATACAAATCGGGAAAAACCTGAAACCCTGAGCCTCCCGACACGACTAACATGTCTCCGCTCTAAGCGCACTACGGAGAGCTTTGTCCAACAATCTTGGTCCTAGGGTCAGGTGCCCTAGTTTCACAGGAAATCCCGGCTGTCGTCGCTGGGTGTGTCCAGTGCCTTGGTGGCAGTCGGTGAAGTAAGCCATGCAAGATGATGGACCAGCGAAGCTTAGCATTAATTGCTACGAAGTTCGTTCGGTGTTTATGGTTGCTGAACTTTAGCTACGGCAGCAGTCAGAGACGCAACCCTAAGCCTCACGCGACATAACATTCACAACATGCCAAAAACCTTAAACCCTGTTCACGACACAAACGAAAGCTTGCAGCTTCCCATCTGGTTGACGTGCTGTCGATCGCCTACAGGTAAGGACCTTCGACACCCTTGTGAGACACAAAAGCAAAACACAGCCCAAAGCTCTCTGACCAGTTCACACCTGCGCCTCTGAACCCTCTTTAGTTTTAGCCATAGATCGCTGAAGGATGTTTCATGTCATCCTGGACTATGCGCACAATGGAAATTCCTCGGAAGGCAGTCTCACTAAATCCTCCACCTCTGAAACCCCTTCAACCACCACCCTGCCATATCATTCAAACCATGCAGCAGGCACGAGTATCTATATCCAGCCACCAGCCCACCATCGCGAACTAACCTAGAGCCTCCACCCCTGCCCGTCAATTCTGAAGGCCCCATCGTTGAACTTTCACCTGCCAGTGCTCAGCTCGACAACTCCGAGCCTCTGCGAGGCCAATACTGCGAACATCTGCGAACCATATTAACTTTGCCCTGAACCTCACATTAACCCCTGCCCTCACATGCTTCGGCAAAGCCACTGGCGGACCAAGGTCTAACCGATCTGCGCCGCAACGCACGGCAAATGACGGCCGTCCGGTGACAAATGGTGCCGTGACACCTCCAGAATACTGCACAAAGCACAATGCAATGAAGGCATGTAGATTCTGGTAACATGTAGCGGCAATGTAGCGACATCTGGCCTTGCAATTGATGGTGCAATGCCCGAAACAAGCCCAGAATTGAAAGGCTTTCCCACATGTGGCAAATCCTAGGCAAGACCAACCCAAAAGCCAAATCCTGACCCACCCCACATCCCAGGCCCAGAAACCCAATGCCAGGATTTGAAATGCACCAAAAATCCCGTGCTGCCCCAATGCGCCGAACACCAACACACTCCTGCATGTTTCAAGCAGGGGAAAGCAATGTGGCGGCCGCGGGGCCGGGGGGGTTAAGGCACGGTGAGGCTGAGGGTTGTGAATTACTTAACCAAGAGCACCCCCCACCTCGACAAACTCCGGATGGGCTTTGAGGAAGTCTCTGCTGGAAGCTTCGGACGAAGTCTGATTGCCTTTGGTCCATGGCTGTTGGGCTTTGGTTCTGCTTTAGGTTCAGGTGGGAGCTGGTGGGTTTTTGGCTATCAGGTAACTCTCAATGACTGAATGGTCTGAACTAAACCAGAAGCTGCTTCGGTCATCTATCCAGCCTCATGTAGGGCTCTCAGCTTGGAGGGTTGTTGAGGGGTCAGCTGCTGAAATCCGGGTTTTAGCATTGAAGGCTGGCCTCCTGAATACGCATGATACAATGCAGCACCTCTTTCTATACCCGCGACCTGCTGACGAGATAGAAGCTTGAAACCTCCAGCGAGACTGCAAGCAAAGCAGTCCAGAGCATGAACATAACATAACTGCTCGGGAAGGTTTATTCTAGAGCGTAAACGGCGTACAGACCACGTAAACGTTAAGACATCGCCCATATTATCTTCCTGGCGTTGCGTGGTTGAGAGTCATACGGAGTACTCACACATTAGACGCCTCGCGCGGCTCGCGAGCCTTTCTGTGTTGAGGGATTCAGGTTTGTAATGCGAAGAGATCCACATGTTCAGCCTGCAGGCAACTGTTTCAGAAAGGGCCCGATCTCATGAAATCTTCACTTCAAGAGCTCTGACAAAGCGGCCACGGCCGACAGTGAAGGTCTTGTTCATGATGCGTCCTCGACCCCGTTACTTTCAGAAGTTCAGAAGCGGCTTGGTACAGTAGTCTCTTCTGGCTACTCACTCTTAGGGCAAGCATACAATCGCATTTGGCCAATCAGATAATCATTCCTCTCAAGACGTCGCCAACTGCCGAAGCCCACCGCGCAGCATCAGGCTCGATTCAAACGATAGCACTTATCCTCTCTGCCACTCATCTAAAGGACCCGTCGAAGTTTAACAGTCAGTGCTTAGCTTCATTCTCGGATTGGGGTTCTGTAGGCGCGGACGAGTTTCTCAGAGCTCAGGCGCTCGCTTTTGTGTTGTTGCTATGGCTGCTTTTCAGGAACACCCGGCTCCCAATGCGTCAGCTTGAGATCCCAAAGAAGTGCCCGGTCTCAGACCTAAAACCGATTCGATTAGCACGGCACATTCGGGGACCAGCCGTTCAACCTCGTCAAGGGAGGACGCCTAAGAACACGCTCACGTGGCCAAAGCCCGAAGCCATGAACTTTGAAGTTTGTACCAAGGGAAATGCACTTCTCCCAGAAGTTGGAAGCTGCTAGGCAACCGAGGCACCGATCAGGGTTCCCTCCTTGAAGAGAGTCGCACAGCTATACCTTTGGATCACCGAAAGTCGAAGGCACATCGCACAATGTGTATGAAGTCTTACAGCCAGTGAGCTTCGGAGGCTTCAGACACAGCATTACCTCTCCCGTGTCCACGAACCTATCATGATGTAGATGTCCGTCCACCTAGCCAGCTAAAAGGCCATCCAGCTGAACCTGGATGTACGTGATTTTGCCCCTGCGGGTGTTTCACGATTGCACCGTCTCTTGTCACAGAGAGCTGGGACAACTACTGTGCTGCCTCTTGCAACTCTTGCAAGGCACACCCGCAGCCCGCTCCAACGTGTTGAGACAGAGTTAATTAAGCTGAGGAGTGAAAGAAAAAGACTAGAGAACGAGAGAGAGAGAGAGAGAGAGAGAGAGAGAGAGAGAGAGAGAGAGAGAGAGTGAGGGAGGGGGGGAGTTCAAGGCTTCGAAGGTATATGCAAAGAGCGGCGTCTTCCAATGCATCAACGCATTGAAGAGGTGGTAGACTTTCCGGTCTAACGCGGCCGGAATGTTTTTCTCCCTGAAGACCTCAGCGGAAAGCGTCAAACTCTTGAACTGATAGCTTCCGCGGGCGCCGGGCTGAAAGGGCTGGCAATCACAATGTAGAGTCTCGGCTCTACATTGAAGCCGAAGACGTGGTGTGGAACCTCTTTACCCTAAGTTCATTTCCTCAAATCTAAACGTGCAGATGTGCAAATACACATATAAACATATGTTAGACATGCAAAACATATATGTATACACATATACATGTGTATGTGTGCGTATGTGTGTGCATACACCTCGGTTCTAAGCTACGGGTTGGTAGAACTTGGAACGGAAGGTTGGATCTTGACCTGCACGCTGCGTTTTTACTTCCTTTCACTCATGTCGAAAAGGCCCCTCAGGCTCACAAACAGCACTCAGGCCAACGAAGGCACCTGTCTGCTGATTCGGATAGAAGCCCGGGAAGCAGGGATCATGTACTTGCAACTTTCCAAGAAGCTAAGCCGACGACGTCAATCGGTAAGACTGAGACACATCCAGAGTGTACAACCACATGTTCATGTGGTGTGCGGTTGCTTCGAGCAGGTTATCGGAACGGTTGTGTCTGGCTCAAGGGGCTGTGCTTTAAGGTGCTGGAGCAGCCACAACACAACGAAGACTGGAGTTTCTTCTCGCACGAAGACAGGCGGTCAGGTGAACCGAGTTATACAGCAATGGCTTCCTTTACAGGGTAGGGCGGTGCTTGAGGGGGCCGCGCGGTGTCCACGAGGACATTCAGCGGCATTTTGGGCTTCAGGCGCTAACCGCTTTCGGGTTGATGGTCTAAGCTGCTAGCAGCTAGCCTGAGCATCCAGGGCGCTGCTTGGGCATCCTCTAGCTGCGGCTTCCACTCAAGCGCGTAGGCGAAAAAATTCCTGAGCTGCTGAAGACTGCGTGAGGTTCTGAGTTTTGGTGGAATCAATCAAGAAGAAAGCGAGACGGAAGCCCAATCTAATGGAACAGCTGCAACTCCCCTAGGCACAGACCTCAACAGAAAACTCACATCGAAAACCTCGAACGAAGCTGCAAGTCCACGGCCCATCTAAGCCAACAAAGGACCTCAATAACATGTGGATGCTGAGAAAAGCAGTTCTGGCTCCTCAGAAGGGAAAGAACAAACCGAGGGCCAAAATAGCCCTGAAGCCTTTGTCACAACCTCAATGCTGATACCTGAATCATACAAGTAGGAATTGAATCGTGCGCGACTTCTCCTACGTTTAACCTACAGCGCCCTGCAAAACATCCTCAATGCAACAGCACTTGAAACGATTTATGCCAGAATGAAGCCAGATCTCGGCGTGAAAGACTCTGGACCAGTGAAGCAGAATGCGGAGCTCGGCCTTTCTCGCAGAAAGACCTGTCAGGGCCATGCATAAGGCACCAGAAGACCCATATTGGGAGATACGACCAGTGTACGGGAATCAGCAAGCCTGAGTAAGCCAGATCTCTGTTCGTGTGATGATTTTGGCCCTCACTTCGGAATTTTGCAGCGGTCCCTGGTGCTTCACACGTGGATGACGAGCCTTCCTGAGTGACCTCTTACTGGGTAACCTTATATATTAATTTAATGTACCCGTGATGGCTAGGAAGTTTTGCTGTTTGCAGATTCTGCTCATATGCCGTCCGCAAAAGCACGGCTTGCTAAACACAAACCAGCAAGTTGCAAGGCGCACAGGAATCTGAGGGTATAACCAAGAGCACTTCTTGAACCCTATAAGCTCGATGTTAAAGGCCTCGCACACAGAAAATCAAACCTAGTTGTCAATGTTGAGTTCCCTAACCCAAAACAAGTTAGCCGGTGAACCTTGAGAACTACAATGACTGTACTTACGACTTACGATTCCTCACAGAAATTTGATAGGCCTGATAGGCCACCTGCCCAACCGCTAAGCTGTAATCTTCTCATGGTCCTTGACATTGACATTGACACTCTCGACGCTGCACTCTTCTTAGTCTCGAGATGTGGCACCCCTAGCAAGGCTTTCGTTTGGGGGTTGGCACAAAACTCGGAACCAATCTTGGGCATCGTCATCGGACTGCATGGGGCTCTTTGAGCTTTTCTCACAACTTCAGCCTGGAAACACTGTATACAAGTTGAGCAGCAGAGCCCACAACGGCAATCACCACCGCAACTGCAAAACATAATTCTACTACAAGACAACTTGCCATAAGAAACCCTCGCACCCTATGAACTACAAACAGTGACCCCGTAGTCTCAACGGCTTTCAGACTTGCAATAGACCATTACTGAAAAGCAGCCCGAGACCTTGTGAGAGAGTCGCTCCCCCAGTCCGCCCCAAGGAATGTGGCACTGCAGTTTCGGGTCCTGAAAGCAAGTGGCTTTTGTCTCTCTCGCATTGCTTGGAAGTCTATGCCCTTTAGAGTGCCGGTTAAGGGGCTTCGAGTTTAGGGCTTAGCTGCCAGTTTCGGGTCGTTCAGGTGGTCTGTTTAGGTCTGGTGAGGATTTGTAGATCACGGTCTCGGTTGCATCGTGTTCTTAGTTCCCCCATGTCCTCAAAGCAGCAAACCTTTTGCCGCCGCCTGTCTGCCGCTTCGCAGTGATTCGTGAGGGTTGACTTTTGCTCCTCCCACACTTTCTTGAAGAAGGGGCTGCCGCGGCGACCCCCGAGGAAGTTCGAGGAAAAGTCGTTGCCTTAGTCTTGCCATTTCACGTAACACTGACGAGCGAGCCATGAGCTTGCATGCTCTGTAGGCAAGGCCAAAGCGCATTTCTCATCGTGAGGGCTGTAGGAGAGCAAGTCCAACGTATGTGCCATCCGAACAATGTCGTCCATGTCGTCCATGGCCACCATGTCGAAATCGATGAAGATTCCTCCGCGGTGCTTTACCACTGATGCCCAAGGCTAGAAACACGAACCCGGTCGTTCACACGGAAACCAAACTAGAGAAAGGCCTACCTACCCCGAACCGGTGCCTCCATGGTGGTACAGCATTCCATAGCGAAGGAAGTCGGACTTCGCTGCAGAGTACGGCAAACGGAAGTACTCTTCAGGAAGATCTGGAACGAGCTCCCTCACCTGCAAACTTTGCTCTCCATGCCCAGGAAGCATACACCACAAGTAACAGCCGTAGACTGTTGATGACTCTTTCGTAGAGCACAGAGAGGACAGCATGACTTGCTCTTGTACAAAATGTTTAGGATCTTGCAATGCGGCAAGTGGACCTGCGACAGCACAAAACCTAGCACACAACAGGGCAGGCTTCGAAACTTTGATCTAAGGGTACTATGTTGAGATCAAAGGATTTGATCAAAGACCCCAACAAGCACATCTAATGTATCCTAATGTCTAGCCACCGGTGTTGAGTGCCGCCGAAGGACATTCTCATCCGAAATGAGGACCGGGTCGTTGCAAAGGCCTCTGGTATGCCTTCTCCAAGTCTCCAGGACCAATCCTGGGTCAATGTAAAATAGGGGCCTTAATAACAGGGTTTTGGGGCCCATTATACTATAATTACAACAAGGAACCCCCAAAATAGTATAGGCACTTATTGAGGCCCCTATATTAAGTTACTTCTGCTGTAACTAATCGGCTTATGCCTGCTGGCCTCTGATATCTATACGCACACCCACACACGCACGCACCCCTCTCCCTCTCTCTCTCTCTCTCTCTCATATTTGTGGCTGTCACTTATTTAGCCCGGGCTTGTAAGCTGTGCTGGTTCCGTGGTTTGAGGCATGCTGGCCGTGCGGGCTGACTCTACGCAGAGAGAGAGGGACAAACAAACGATGCCCAAGGAATGCTGGACGTAACTCTTCTCTGCTTCTCTGGCTTGTGCTTCACGAGCTAGGCTTGCCTTAATCTTTGAAACCCCCCAATGCAATCGAGTTCGTTCTCTCAACGTTTGCGGGACAAAGACATGAAGTTGAGGCCCTGAGCCTGCTAAACGCCAGGTTGCTTCCAGGACACCGAATCTTAAGTCACAAAGACGGACCGCTACCTTGGACTGGCACCGAGGTTCTCGGCATCAGTGCCACGTCCTTGCCTTCCTCGTCCTTCTCCCAAAGCGTGAAGATGTTGCACTTGCTCGGATCCTTGGTCTTCAAGCACCGGACGCAGTGTCATGCTTGAAGTTCCCAAGCCCCACCTAAGCCTCGCCTCCCAGCCCCACCAGCCCAGACTCTAGTACATCCTGAAACGCCGGACCTCAACTTCTAAACCCTCGTAAGCCCTGAGCGCCCAGAGTGTTCTCTCGGCAGTGATTAAGCATGGCTGCTCTGTAGATGCCCTGGTGCCCGTCATCTTTGCGAAGCTTCGCAGTTTGGACTAGAGCTGCATCATCCTGCAAACGGCAGAGGAGGTGGCTGGGCCTTCAAAGACATTTTCGGAGATTCTGGAGGGCTTTATGCAAGGAGCGGAGCGCTTGGCCAGTGGGTTGCAGGCTTACTGATTAGTGCAAATTGAGTGTCAGCCTGTCAGAGACGAGAGTGATCTCGAAGCCTCACTTCAAGCCTTCGCCAGCCAGCTACTGAAGTCCTAAGATGATGACCTCATGTGTAAACCGTAACCTCTGAGAGCCGCGACCAAATTTTGTGAAGTGCTGGATCTGCTCAGCAGGGGCCCTGATTGCTAGATACGATGCCAGATGCAAGATTTGAAAGTTGCCAGCAGCGGCACACCCCACTACCCCCAGTAGCTAGTTACCCTAATATTAATTTTACGCGCCGCGGTCTACTCCAAAGGGTCCTCCTCACAGCTCTCGGTCGTGCAAGCAGAGGTGGCAGACGGCGACTTCAGGCCGCAGACCTCAGCCGCAAACCCTACACAAATCCAGCGATTTTGCGCTTAAGGACCAGCTCCTACTGCAAAAGATCTATTGAAGCCACGGGGACAATGACGAGAAGCCACAGGTGGGCTTGGAAGCCCATCTGGATGCCTGGGCTGGATCCGGGCTTGGGGCTCCGGCTTTGCGTCAGCTTTGGCTTGAAAACCTTAGATCCCATGCCCTCGAACATATGCATAAACCTCTAAGCCGCATCACAAACGCTCCAGCTTCATCAACTAATCAAAGAAGCCTTTTTGGCACAGAACACCAAGCAAACCACAGGGCTAGGGTCACATCAGATTTGGAGAGCCCAATGCATGCAAATCAACTTCGTTGGTGTTTATGACGAACATACCGCAGCTTCAGAGTTGCCATCGTGAGGAGAAGTACTGCGGTCGTGGCCAGGCTTCTTTGGCTTGCACGACACCGCACGTACCAGCACATGTTAACGGCGTGAGAACCCCTCACCTGGAGATGCGCGCCCCGTAAGTGCGTAGATAACAAGGTATCAGGAGAGGCCATTCTGGAATTATCGGCACTGGACTCAGGCTCATTGACAGTTGGCGGGTTGCCGCGACCGGGCACTTTGCGACCCTCGATTGGAGTGGTGACAATGAAAGAGATGGTGCTTTTCTAAGGATATCGACACGCCAGAGAGGAATCTGCGGTGTAAAGTGCCCACTTCGCAATATCAGTCTGGTTGCGAGCTCCAGACGGCCAAGGCTGGAGAAGCAGCTTATGGAACGGTGCGATGCTACATCTTTTGCTGCAGCTGACGAGCGGCCGATTTCAGGTGCAGGGTCATGTCATGCGCTCACAACGCTCTCGATGTCCGGATCCCTACTCCTAAACCTAAACCAACTGGAACCCCAAAATCTCTTGCAAAGGCCGTCAGAGACATGTTGTTCGGCCCTAGGTACCTTAGCCCAAAAACTTTGAGGGATCGGGGTTCAGGGTTTCGGGGGCAAGGCCGCCAGGATTGAAGTCTGAGGGATCCCACTTGATGAACTTTTAAGGCTTTGGGATTTGGGTTATGACTCTAAACCCACGTCCGCAGGACCCCCTGCAAAAAAAAAAAACATAACCCATACGCAGATTCTTACTAAGAATCAAGGATCGACCATTCACCGTAAACCCTAAGACAGAGACTGAGCAAATTCCACCAGCAATAGACTTTCAACGAACAGCCGTCGTGACTATCACCCACATGTCCAACCCACGTCACAAGGCCTGTACTCTACGTGAGTTCCCAAAACAGAACCAAACGAGGGCCTCGTGCGCCGCGTACCTGCCCAAACCACTGAAGCAGCCAGCAGCACCCGCGCCGGGCTGCATGAGCGATCAGCCAGGACCTGTTTGAGGCTGTGGTTCGGGGGCAGTAGGGTTCTGACGACATGGAGCTAAAGGGCATGAACACTTAAGAAAATTAACCCCGGAGCACTTGAGTTTGGGTTCAACACTCGGAGGCACTTTGAGGCCCTAAACTCAAAGCGAAGGCATGTCGAAGCTGGGTCCGAATGACTGAAAAGCCGAGTATTGGGCTTGAGATCTTATTGATACCATTCTGCGCATAGCTCCAGGTTCGAAGCCTGCAGGTCTTGCGGGTGTTGACCTCGCCCTTCAGTGCAGAAATTCTGCAGAACTCTTGCGAATCTTCAGTCATAGTCATGGTCGCCAGAGCGACCACCGGAGGAACAGGGGTTTGCTACCTTACTGTATGGAATGATTTCGGCTTTGCGAAGGCAAGCTCTGGGAGGGCATTGCTGACAAGCCTGACATAATCAACTCGATATTGCGGTAACATGCTGAAATATCGGTTAGGACGGCTGGAGAGCTAACATCTACTGACAGGATTCCTACCATCTACACCTCAACCGAACATGGAAAAGCAGCTCGCCGCAAAGAGTTGAGGTTGTAAAGATTCTATAAAACAGCTACCTCCCAGAGAGTTTTTTTGGGTAGTTTGCTATACCACAGGGACCTGCGAGGGACCTCATTTCTGACAGCCGCTAGCCCTGCAAGATCCTAACCCCATAGTCTGGAAACAATAGACCTAGTTGGAACAATCAACCCTTTCAGCCCGAACCGTAAGCCCGAACCTCACGCAGCACCACTGTAATCTTTCAACAAGCCGGGCTCATGTTGAGAACCCGAAACCCCATGCCCCGCTCGGGAATCTCGACCTCATGATGCTCCGCACCTTCTCTACAAGTACGGACCCCAAGGCTAGACCGTGCAAAGTCATGGAAAGCCCGAAACCCCAAACCCAAAAGCAGGACGACGACAAACCTGGCGTGGCATTGCCTGCGGTGTGGCCGGCAATGACGGGGCGAGTCGCAGCGAGGGAGCGGCAACTGAGCATCTGTTGGACGCCAGGTTACTGTAGGTGTTGTGGAAAGTTTGCTCGAAGCATTTCTAAACTCTAGGTTGTCAGGTTGTGGCTTCGGGATAAGGGACGTTCAGCTATGAGGGAAGACTACAATGAGCTTCCTGCTGCAAAGTACTGAACGCTGGTTTGAAGCTCCTTGAGGGTCATGTAACTTCGCTGACAACCCTAAACCCTAAACCCCTAAACCCTAAACGCTAACTTTGTGGAGAGGGCCTTCTCCGGACAGGCACAAGGCCCCCTAGTCCGAATTCCAGCCAGAAGCTTCCCCTTGAATAGCATCCCTTGTCTGCTTCGAAACTGGTGCTTTGTTGGCACTAGGTCCGAAACAACCTATCTGTCTGTCCATCTATCCATCTACCTATACATCATCTACTCATACAAAATGTTTATCTACATATGAGCGTTTGTCAAAACTTCTTGTTCATGGCTAGACCATGGATGATTTGGGGGGTGCGGCAACACATGAGAGACGACCATGCGTGCAGAGATGGGAACAGGGGGATACACGGGGGCAATGCATTGCCAAGTGAAGCCAGGACCTGCATCAAGTTTTGCCGAACACAGCACCGTGCACTTGGTATCAGTAACCCATCTGAGTTCCAAAGTCATCCTGAACCGAACTTCAAATCGCTGTATTTCTGTCGTCGTTGTCTGGCCTTGTCCAACGCCCGGGCGCCCGAGCGCGACAGACAGCGACGTGGGAGCTAAGCGAGCCATCGCAAAGGCTCAACACCCCCCAAACTCGCAACGCAGTGGAGCCCTACGGTATATAGCTCAACATGTCAGCAAGCCTGGTAGCACTGCAAGCTTGCAATACCAAATAACTTCCGAGTTGACACGCTTGTGGCACTGTCGTGCTGCAAATTGACGTCTTCGTGCACATACTTCCCGGCACTGCAAAAGCCAGGCGGAGTGGCCTGTCGATTGGGTTTGCATTTGTCGTGAGGGAGGAGACCAATCCGAGAGGCAAACTCAAACCGTAAATCTTGAATCAGGCCCTGCACTGAATGCAACTAAGGACGAGAGCATCCTGGACCATCGTGGACTTTCGAGGCCAGGTGTTTGGGTGTCGAGTTTTGGGGGGCCATGAGCTTGCCCCCTGCTTTGAACTACTACTACTCTCCTCTCGAATCTCGAACCTGGAGTCTGAAGGTTTAAGCCAGTTTAAGCATGCACCCCGCACCTGAATCTAGAATGACGTGCAGGGAAACGAAGCGAAGGGAAAGCAACCCCGAAAAGCCAACGTACTTAAGTGTTCCAGATTCGTGACAATGGGATTCGATGGTTGTACCATTTAAAATAGAGCGGGGTAAGGTTTGCTCTCCGGTTGGGGACATGGCCGCCTCCAAATGCCTCAGGTCTAAGAGCAGCCCCGAGCCCTGAACCGTTTCAAGCTTTTCTGTCGCAAACCTCCAGCTCCCCAAGCTTAGGGTGGCAGTCTTAGCGAGGACGGCACGGTATGGCAGCGGGAGCTTTTTCAATAATTCTTTCTGCTGAATGCTTCGGCCGGGCAGCACGGGACCTGCGCAGGCCCAAGCACGGAGTGGGCCTGTCGAGACCGAGGTTGAGGATGTGCGGCTTTCCGTTGCTGAAACATGCTGAGACGAATGCCGCGCTGGCTGGATTGACAGACAATCAGGTCTCGCAGCAGCACATTCCTCGGTCTTCCGTTTTTTCCGCCTCGCTGTGCCTGTTCTCCACGCAAGAACAGTGCTGTGGACAGCAGTTGCGCTGAAGTGTGCAGCGACGGCTGAATTCGGAGACTGCAGGTCACTATGCGAAGACCACGGGCCTTGAATTACCCAAATCCTCTCGGATTCTGGATTCTGTGGGACACTGCCATGAAACTCTGCAAAGATCGAACTGCTCCGCGTGGACGCTACATTGTGCCATCATTGTGCATGCTGCGGTCAGCGTATCGCTCTGACTCTTGCTGTCACTGCGTTCGCCGACCTCGGATATGTGGCACATGCCACAATCAGAGCCCCGGTTGAATTCTGGGATTTTCGGCTTCACACTTCAAGGACTTTGGCCCCGTGTGCTTACACGCTGGGCTACTGAGGGATACAAGACTTACGTAAGGTTTTCGGGTGTTCAGGCTTTTCAGTTCTAGGGCCGAGGGTGCTCCGGGATCGGAAGCGATGAGATGGTAGCGTGTGGGGAGGATATCAACTTGGAATGGCTTTCAGGCAATTCTTCGATGGCGGGAAGCCGCCCTAGTCACTCTGATGAATCTCAGGAACACAGGAGCATCTCCTACACCCCACATGCAGATATCAAAAAGCGGGGAGTTTGATGTGCTTTGGCCGCCTCGCTCACGGTAACACGGTTGGGGCATTATGCGACATTTCTTATCTTACGAGGATTGATATACGCTGGTTATCGGTTAACATTGGACTTATACACCTGCTGGGCAAAATACATGCCAAACTAAGCAGTCACTTCCATCCCCTTAACCCCAACGGCCAAAGCCTCTCAAGTCAAACCACCTGCAAGAACCATGACGCCCATGTTAACCTCTCGTGAAACTTTCTTTCACTCGGCACGGTAGAAGGCGGTGAAAAAGGACGACAGCCACTCTCAGCAAATCTGCTAGTCAAACTCGTCGTCGTCTCCGTCCAAGCGCTCCTGGGACCCGGAGGACGTCAGATATCAATCTCAGAACAACTACGCAAAATGGAGGAATCAGAAATGTGCTGGTGATGGAGTTGGCAGCTAAATAAGAAGAGCACCAAAACCGAAGTATCAACCTTGCACCTTCTTGTTCAGATACTAAACTTCAATCGACTTTCCGAGTTGTAGCTGCCACGACTCGATGTCATCGTCCAGCTCAGCGCGGGCTGGCGGCTGCCAGGTCGTAGAAAGACGCAGCACCGGATCACCTGGAAGAGGACCCGATAAAGTAGACCCTAAGACACATTGGACCCCCCATAATTAGTCATGGGCCATGCGGGCTTTGTTCTCATTTCGCTGGTTGTTGTTGCCAAGATCCCACAAAGAAATGCATAAACATTTTTAATGTCTGTTTCACACTTTGTCTGACTAGCCCACGATTCAGAAACACCACCTCGCGGCCTCGCGGTGGCGGGGCAGCCAGGACGTGGCAGCCGGCCACGAGGACCTGCCAACGACGCAAGGGGGGGGGGGTGCGTGGTTTGGGCTCAAACTGTACGGGCGATTGTCAAGGTTACGAAACGGTTCCTGTGAGGATTCTGGGTTTGGAGTGTAGCACTTGCCGAAGCCATGAAGTCGACAAACTCCCCGGTGGATACGCTATAGTTACTATAGTTGAAAAAGTGGACTAACAACACAAACAACAGGTGCACAAAACATGTACCAGCTAGTATCACGAAACATGTGCATAAAGATGTTCATCTATGCGCAAGATTGCGCAAGTGAAGCAACCTCTACCACCCCCAAGAACTCAAGCATAGATCCAGATCTGGGTCACGAAACCTCGCCGCCCGCTGGCCAAAGACTCTCGCAGCTCACACGCCCCGCTCCTGCCAGCGGTGCCGCGCGCAATTCCTGGGCACTGGTCAGCTCGCTTCCATCCATCCGCTGGATAGACAGCGACAAGTCCACCTGGGGGCTGCTTGTTGAGATCACCTGCTATCCTGAGAGGTGCTTCTGCATGGCCCGTTTGAGGAATCTAGGACCTAGGACCTAGGAATGATGGCGATTGGAAAAATGCACCTCGAAGCCAACGCCTTCGCAGCCAATGCCCGTCAAATGTAATGCCAAGGCTACTGGAGGAGTCCCGGGTGTGCCGCAGGTTCCCATTCCCAGCGGGTACCTTTTGAGTTAGGGGCTGTTGGGCTTCCGGGATTCGCAGGTCTTCGGGTCCAGGTCCCTTCACAGCTTCGAGGCTGTTGGACTGTGCCACAAAAAATCCGAAACGAACTCGTAAATTATTCCGACTTCGCAAAGAAACTAAGACTTTTCCCGAAGCTCAGCGCAGGTGCACCATGAAGGTGAACTGGACTTCCGGAAACCCGGGCAAATGAAAGTGTTCGCACTCGCAGCCGCCACGCGGCCTTCCTGGTGTGGCGTAGAAACTCCTCATGACCCCGATGTTGTGCAAGCGCCACTCCGCGGCGCCCTCCACGCTGCGAGCAGTTGAGAGGTCCACCCTCCTGCATTTCGATGTTTCCAGCTCCATGGCTCTGCTCGGAGAACCCACATGCAGAAGTATGTATGTATGCATTTAAATCTATCAGGTTGAAAAAAACTCTATAGAATCGCCTTCTTGAAAATGCTGCAATTGCTTTCTGAATCGAAAGCTCTCGGGTTTTTGCCTGGCAGGTCGAGAGTTGGTTTAGGCAATGCTCTGTGATATGTCCCCGGGATGCGCAGTTCTAGGATGCAGAATCCGATGCCAGAGGGCTGCACGGGCTGTCAAACCATAGCGGTGTCAGTAACAGAGTAAGAATGTAAAATTCGTATGTGCGTGTATTTTTAAATTTTGTGATAATAGAACTTCGA